AGCAAATCCAGCAAGGATACAGTCATCTGCATTTTCTGGAGGAACTGGGTTTTGGAGGACATAGCAGCATCCATGGAATCACTGGTCTGTGTAGAGCTGAGCTGGGCCCACAGGCTGGGATGCACACACGGGTACCCCAGCAACCAGAAAGTGATCGTTATTCCAGCCAGCTGGGCTGGGCCTTGGGAAGTAGGCAAGGGTCAGGGTGGGGGCCTCAGCCTGGGGTATCTGGGCCTGCTGAGTGCCAAGAGGGACCTTGAAGGCCTCGAGGAACTAAGAGGACACAGTCCATACAGATGACCCACTCTGGAAACTACTAGGAGGGAATTTGAGGAAGAAGGGAGGGCCTGGCAGTGACTGGTAACTAGGACTGGTAAGAGCTCTTGGTGCTGGCTCTGTGCCAGGCACAGTACATAACCTGAAAGGAACCACCTGGGTTAACATCGCTACAAAGTTACTACTATTATTATCACCTGCACATGGAAGACAAATTGGGACTCAAAGGCACTACGTGCCTTGCTCAGTTTTGCACCTTGTAAGCAAGCAGCTGAGCTGGGGGCCTCAAAGCTCACTATGTCTAAGGTGACTATGGCAGTGTGAGCTGAGCAGAATTTAATATAGTGTCCCCACCTAGCAAAGAAAGCAGAGGGATCTGTTGGAAAAGTCTTACCAACACGGCCCCTTTCCTGTTCTCCACACTCCCCTGGCTTCCCCACCGCCTCCACTCAGTTGCAAGACTCAGGCTCACCGGGAGTTCTGAGAAGCCGCCTTCCTGAAGGCCATGGGTAGCTGCAGCAGGGTCCTGTCACAGAAGCCGGTGCTCTGAGCAGCCTCGCCCCATTCTGGGGCTACAGACCCCACTCCCTGCTCAGAGCCCAGTCAGGGGTAAGGCTAACCACTCCCACTCCCTTGAACAGAGTGTCCAGAGTGACCGTGGGAGCCAGCCTAGTCCAGGCCTGCCCTGGCAGAGAGAAGAGAGGGTACCACAGGCACAACCCATCTTGAGCCCCTAGGCTGAGTAGATCAGAGAATAGGGCACTGGAGAACCAGGGAGTAGGACAGGCCCTAGCTCGTCAAGCCTGGCACATTCACAGCCAACTGTTCCATTCTGCCAGCTTCAGGGCAAGGGCCTCACAGGTAGCACTCCAGAACCCACAGCCACCTCAATGCCCTGTCCTCTTTGTCACCCCAAACCCTGGACTCCAGCTGCTAGCCAGCGTCTAATCAGGCAAAGAGCAATTTCTCTAGTGAGGGTCTAGAAACCTACCCCTTCTCTTTGAGTGTGAAAACTTCTGGGGCCTGAGGAGCAGCCAGTGAAGCTATTTGTTGGTCCCTGAGGCTTGGTCCAGGCTTGGCATCTTGGGGTCCACTCCCTGTACAGGTCCGATCCCCCGCTGACAGAAGCCTGGGCTTAGGGAGGCCCTTGGCAGGCATGGTGATCTTGTGGATGCCCCTGGGGGGGTTTGTTTCAGAAGCTCGGGCTGGGGCAGGAGCTGTGGTAGCAGAAGTGGCAATGGACCCAGACTTCAGGCTGGAGGACTTCTCTCTTTTTCCAGCCTTAGAAATGCCTTTTCGAACCTGTACAGCCTTCTCCAGTGCCTGGGTCAGAAGTTCCAGCTCCTTGAGGTCTTGGGGGCTGGGTGTGCATGCTGCAAAAGCCAAGACGTGGTGGTCTTTCACCACTGTCCCTCAGGAGGGTTCCTCACCACTGCAAGCCAGAAGACAGGCCAGGGGCAGCACCTGTAGGTGGGTGGCTTAGGTTTACCTGGAAATGGGGCATCTTCATTAGTTTCTAGCCCTGGGGTTGGCTCCGGAGCCGGGGTCTTGGCTGGTTCCCTGCGAAGACACAGGGCAGCTGTGGCACCACAAGGAGACAGAGCCCAGGCCCAAAAGACCCCACAGGGCCGCCTGATCTGGAAATAAAACCCCAGCCTCTGAGCCTTCGGGGAAAGGGGGGAGCCCGACGATTGGCAACTCAGAAACGGGCGCTAGGCCTGGCCTCTCGGCCCGGGGGCTCGGAGACGGCTTCTGAGGGCACGAGGAAGGACTAATTGGTGGTCCGGGTCCGCGTACCAGGTCCGCAGCAACCGCCGGGAGACTTGCAGGCTCCGCTCCAGCTCCCGCTGTCGCTCGGCACAGGCGTCCAGGGCGCCCCACAGCTCGGCCACCAGCCTGGAAGGGACACACCTGCAGCTCAGCTCCGGGGCCAGCCTTCCTCGGGCCGTGCCCGCTCCCGCCACGCTCCCTCCACCGCCCTGACCCTACCGGCGAGAGCAGGCGGCGGGCAGCATGAAGGAAGCAGCCGTTCTTCAGGATTTGCCGCCGTGGGAAAGTCCCACCCCTTCCGTGCTATAAGACGACCCCTTCCGGCTGGGCTACCCTATCCGGATCCCAGGGCTCAGGACCCATACGTCTCCTCCACCCCGACTCCTGGGCTCAGAGCCCAGTCTTCTTCGCTGAGCTACCACCCTAAGTCTCGGGTAACGGACCTCCGATGCTGCGCAGGCGTCTGGTGCGGATAGCTGGGTAGATGGTGGCATCTGTGATCGCTTTACAGTTGGATTCTTCTTTGTCCTTGTTGAAGTCACTCTGAAGTGGGGCCGACCTGCCTTGCTGACCCCATCTGGCACAGGGTGAAGCACGTGAAGGGGCACAGTCAGTATTTACTGCAAACGGTCGCTAGAGGTGTGGATGAAGTGTGTGTTGAGAGCGGAGTGTTCACTTTTGGACATACTGGCAAGGTGATGACACCTTGGTGATGACACAAGGAGGAGACACCGGGTAGGCACCTGGGCAGAGAGGGATGAAGCAAGATGTTCCAAGGTGGGGCACGTGTGCACGGCCAGGGACAAATGAGGAGTGGATGATAGGTCTGGAGAACCCAGTGTCAAAGAAGCAATGGGAGGCTGTACTAGGAGCATGTCGGAGGGATGGGGGATGGGGTCTTCAGTGACTAAGGGAACCAACATCTTGGATGGGAGGAGTAATGCAAGTAGCAAGGGCCAGTGTAATTGGAGATAAGAATAAAAGAGATCCCTGGGAATCCAAAAGGACAAACCTTGGGAGGGGGGTTTCTTTAAAGATGGAGAGCTGGCCATTCATGGTCTCTAATAGGAAGGAAGGTGCTGCAGCATAGGGAAGAAGGACGTGAAGGGAAGCTGAGGGGGCAGGGCAGAGAGGCTGGGACTCAGGCAACCCTGGGACTGTTCTTAGGGTGGCCACTAACCTGCAGTGGCCCATTCTCATGCCCAATAGGGGAATGCTAATGCCATTTCTGCCTAAAATGAGATTCTCTGTGAGGCAGGGGAAAATGCTTCCATCAGTACTTAGGAGACCCCATAACAGTCATAGGGCACCAAAGTGATGCCCTCCTCAAGGACTTGAGGAGATGCAGGCAGACAGCACCACAGTGAGGAGGTGTCAAGGTGACCGTTAGAACTTGGGGAGACACAGGGAGACCCCACACTATGGTCACAGTGTTGTGTTCCACCGGAGTGGTTGTCTTCTAGAGGTGTAGGCTGGAAGAAGGCAGAGAACTGGTTTCACTGAGTTGGAATTTTGGTAAGGGGCTATGGACAAGTGCCCCAGTGTGACTTGGGTGACATTAGGAAGTGACAAGAAGGCAGTTTAGATATGCACATCACTCATCTTCCACTGTCCTCATCACATTTAATCCTCACAACACCCCTGTGAGGTAGGTATTGCCCCATCTTACAAGTGAGGAAACTGAGGCTCACAGACACCCAGGAGCACATGGTCAACAGGAAGTCCACGATCCCAATACTGGGGGTCCCCTTAACCACACTACACATGGTGTGATCAGTATTCTTACAGTAGCAGAGACAGCTCCCTGGAGACATAGACACATACACACATACACACTCATACATAGGCACCCAGAAAAGCTAGCAGTGAATCAGCATCTCCACACCCTCGTAGTTCTGGTTCAAGAGCATTTGAGGGACACTCCTGGCCAAGTGGTTCTGACATTTTGAGAGGAAACAAAAGCTACTGTAGCATGGCATCAGAGGTCATCATAACTAGAGAGGTCAGGGCCACTTGGGCAGATCCCTCAGGTGTTTTGACTACTGCCCCCCCTGGGGGTCCCAGTATCTCTAGGACAGTTATTCTTAGGAACTCACAGCAGACCCGCCCTCACCCAGCAGGCAGGTTCAAGTCCTCTGAATGCTGCTCTTCTGCATCTGGGTCATCTCAGATGTTACAAATGACTTGCCACGGCCTCCCCCACCCCAGCCTGGCCGAAACCCCACCTGGCTAACTTCTCTGGGAAAATTCTTCTTGCATAAATAGTGCCAGGATAGCATTGAGGGGTTTGAATTAGATTTTTTCCAGTTGATTCTAAATAATGTTGAATCTCTTATTTTAAAAAATTTAATGACTTCTATTTAAAAATTTTCTTTTGTTTTCATTTTTTCATCTTAGAAGAATGAAGGATAGAAATACAAGAAAAGAAATGGACCAGAAACTCAGCACCTCATCAAAAAGAGATGTCCATACAGACACTATCTGTTGGGGACACAGACAAATCATTCTGGGAGGAGGGACGGATTTCTAAAATGAGCTGGGAATGTGAGAGTGAAGGAGCCTATGACTAAGGCGTTGAGGCCCTGGCCTGCAAAAAGTCAAGGCCCTTACATCTGGTGATCACATGTAGTCCCTGACAATGCACAGGGCAGGACTCCCCTACCATGGGTCTCTCTGCCCTATGAGGGAGTAGATGACCCTGGCAGGCAGAGGTGGACATGGGGATTGTGTTTGGAGCTCTCAGCTCCCATAGAACCCCAAACCAGGTAGATGCAGGGAGCGAGGAAGCTGTTTCAGGCTACTTCAATCAGATGTGTTCTCAATTGTGAGAGCGGTCAGCTCCCAGGATGGGGGTTCAGTGGGGCTGGTTATCAGGCAGTGGGCTTAAGCTTCCCAGAAAGAAAGCAGGACAGACACAGAAGGGGACAGAGAAATAGACCTCACACGGTGTGTTGTTTGAGGTTAAAGTTTCAAAAGAGAAGGATGAGTTTTTGTTCTGATTTTGACATTTTGATGGCTCAAATGTGACCCCCCTGGTGAAAGATGGTCAGTGCCCCAAGTTCTCTCTGCTCCCCGTGGAGGCCACTGGAGGTCTACACATCATCCATCGCCAGTGCCCCCACTCCTTGCTACTGCAGCAGCAGCCCTGTTTCCACAAAGATTCACTGTGGCAAACACTGACACACTCACAGCTTCACTCAGGAAGCTCAAGTTCGTGTCCTGCTCTTCCTTGCTGGAGGTGGACAGATTTTTCCTTTTCACCTGTTGCTGGGGAACATTGCTCTCTGGGGAACTCAGGGGACGACACTGTAAACACGACTTCCTGGCATGATGGTGGCAAGGCTGTATGTTTGAGTCACTGCCTGGGGACAGTGCTGAGGTAGGTTGGGGCGGGCTACTGTCCACCGACTTTGTGGGACTCACACCGCTGATGGAGGAGTACCCTGAGGTCATAACGTCCTTGCCTAGTTCTCTGCTGCTGCAGAGAGGGGCCTCAGGTCCTGGGGCTAGAGGTGTCTGGGTGCTTGTCACCATGGCATGCAGGTCCTGATATCCTTCATCCTCCAGGCAGGCCTCCTCATCGCTCGATTCCTGGCAGCAGTGCTGTTCTGGGTTGAGGTACACCACGGTGACATCGAGGATGCCGCTGGGAGCTGTCACTACGGGAGAAGTCAGGCCAGACTGAGCACTGGGACAACCCGGTCCAGTTGGGACCCCAGGGGCCCAGGGTCCAGCTCTCACCCAGCTCTCGGCTACATATCCTGGACCTTGCTAGACAGTCCCCTGTACTGATCTCCTTCTGGTTAAGTGACTCCTTTAAATTTGGAGTGGCACCCAACAGGACTTAGGGGACAATAAGAAGTGACAACTTGAATGGACACAAAAGCAAGCAATTGGAAAATTGACAGAAACTCCTTGAACTGGGCTTTCTGTGCTGCCTGAGTACATGGGCACAGAGTCTCCTGCAGTCTCCTCCTTTGGAGGAGTGTGAGGCACAGAGACTAAGAGGGCAGTGGGGGGACACCTCACATAATCTTCTAGAATGATCTTATTGTGAATTCCAGACAGGGTCTCTTCCTCTTCCCCTGCCCTTGTGAGGCTCTTCCATAAACACAGGCCTGGCTGGAGCCTGACACACATTTGGCCTAAATCCTGCCCTCTCCCCTCTGCCACCTGCTGTGGTGTCCTAGGACTTCTGCTCTCTTACTTCCATGTCTGGACACGCTCTCCTGCAGGTAATGCCAGGGGCCCTCAGTGAGAACTATCCTTCTGCCTGCTGGCCCCTTTGGCACAGCCCCTGGGTGGCTTTGTGGCCATGGGACTCACCATCGCCCTCTTTCTCGCCCTCACTCTCCTGGTCGCCCTCGTAGCCAGAGCAGTAGTCCAGGTTCCAGTCTAGGAAGCTGCCGAGTAGTGTCTCCTCCTGGCTGGACAGCTCTGCAGTGGGCGTGGTGACGAAACTGCCCCTGTCCTCCTGGAGGCTGTTCTCCCGCTTCCTACAAGGGGTTGGGGGGGGGCGGGGAGCAGAAACCAGTCACAGGCAGCATCATTAGGTCCTTGACACCTGCCACCCTGCTCCTGTGTGCTGTGATAGAGATGACACAGCTGCCCAGTGCCTGCCCTTCAAGTCCCAGAGGCAAGATTGGAGGCACAGTGAGAATCCTGGCTCATCTGGACTTTGCAGAATCAATAAGAGTTCTTCAGGTGGGTGAGGCAGGGAAGGGAAGTTATTCTAGGTGGGACAGCCAGGAGATTGAGATGGGAGAGACAGAAGTAAATGGGATACACACAGGAAATAAGGGTGGAGATGAGGGTGAGCAAGGGAGGATCTGAGCACACTATTTAGGTATAGCTAGAGTGCAGGAAGTGACAGCAACACTGTGGAGTAGAGGGCCCAGGGTAATGTGACAGATGGCAGGGCCAGAACCTGAGATGGGCTCAACCTGTGCTCAAGCCCATCTTTCCTCATAGGGTACCAGTCAAAGCAAGAGGGACGGGCATGTTGGAGGGAGGACAGGGTTGCAGACAGTGCAGCTCAGGCCCAGGGGGCCAAGGCCTAGATTCAACTGGACTTCAGTTTTCATGGGATCTGTTCCTTTGCCCTCTAATGCCTTAGGAGCCCCCTGTATAAAATAGTGGAGCCCCTCAAGAAGTTGCATGGGTCACGAGGGAACCCAGGCCCAGCACGTGGGAGCCAACACTGCATCACACCCTTACAGACATTGGGCTTACTAACCTCTTGGTTCTCCTTGCAGAGGGAGAGCTAAGGAAGGAGTGAATGTCCCCTGAGCTGAGGAAAGATGTGGGTTCTGGGCTCTCTTGTTTCACTCCTAGAGCTGCACACACCTGGCTATAGCTCAGCACCTGAGAGAAAGACAGAATCAGAGGGAGGTAAGAAGCCCCAAGGGGCAGACAGGGAACTGTCCTCACCCCAAACAGAGACAGTGGGGGAGGGTGGCACCTCTTCCTGGCTGATCTCTTCGTAGCGCTTGTCCTCAAACCTCTGTTTCACTGCGGTCAGAGAGACTTGTCTGTAATCCTTGGGGATGTCATCGTGGAAGCTGCAAACAGAGGGACACAGGAGAGATAGTGTAGGGGGCAGGAAGGGTTCTGGGACAGGCATTATCAGCATCACCACTCCAAGAGACTCCCATTTTTAGCTTCCCTCACTGAAGTGAGAGGGGACAACATATTTTCATAAACAGCCCACTGATGGGAGGTAAAGCAGGGTGTTGCTGTAGAAGTCTAACAGTTCCTAATAGAGTTAAACCTAGAGTCACCTATGACCCAGCAGTTCCCACCCCAGGTGTATCCCCAAGAGAAATGTGAACACGTTCACACAGAAACTTGTCCGTGATGTTCATAGCAGCACGATTCATTAGTAGCCAGAAGATGGGAATAACCCAAATGTCCAGCAGTGCATGAACGATAAACACAATGTGGTCCATCCATGCAGCAGAGTATTATTACAGTGGAAAACATGCGGGTGGAAGAGGCCAGCCACAAAAGGCCACATATTGTCTGATTCCATTTCTGTGAAATGTCCAGAACAGGCAAATTCAGAGAGACTAAAGTAGATGAGTGTTTGTCCAGAGCTGGAATGGAGGGGGAATGTGAGGTGATATGGGTAAGGAGTGCAGGGTTTTTCTTTTGAGGGTGGTCAAAATATTCTCAGATTGACTATGGTGATGGCTGCACGACTCTGAATATACTAAGAGCCTGTTGAATTGTACACATAGAAAAAAGTTTGGTCTGTAAACAAATGGTTCCAATTTACCTTGTTTAGAAAAAAGAAACTCTGGGAGGTAGGGGACAACCCAGTAACAATTTTTGGTAGCCCAGTAATCACTGCTTGCACTCCTTGTATAAACCACAGGTCAGACATGTGCTGACCTGTCACCTGCATTCCTAGTCCATCAGTTTCAAGGTTTGGGCACCACAGGAGAAAACAAGGTGGGCTGAATCCTACGTCAACCCCTGGGAAATGCTGACAGGTCCCCCCAAGGCTGGAGCACCTCAGGGAGGGTGGAGAAGAAGCAAGTGGGCCAGAGCAGAGGCTGGTAAAAAGGATCTGGGGCCATGCTAGAGTTTTCTGATCTCATCCCAGAAGGTGTAAGCAGAGGCAGCATGCTCAGAGGCTTCTACCGCAGTAATCCAGGAGGTGGCTGGGGGAGTGACCATGGGCAGACAGTGGAGACTAAGGGGTTCAGATTCCTAGATGTGCAAAGAAAGTGCATCGGCCTTCAGAGCCCCCAGGATGTAGGAACGTAGGACCAGAAATGGGCTGGCCTGAGATCTCTGCTGGAACCACTGGGGCCTCATCCACAGAGCACCAAATGCACTCTGTGAGGAGGAATGGCTCCAGGAAAAGAAGGGTTCCGGCTTAGATAAGCTGGCAGGGGAGTCTGGGGCTTTGGGATTAGAGGTGTTCTGAATCTTGGAAGTGGTTACACCTTCCAGGGACATCTGAGGATAAGCAGAAAGATGGAATTACCCAGACTCTCATGCAGGGAGAAAGGGACACTGAGGCAGTGTGGCCTGATGGAGGAAGGAGGTCATTGGAGGCAGGGACTTAAGTAGACATGCATGTGGTGGGGAAGGAGTAGGGACCAGAGTGAGGGAGCCAAAGAGCGGGAGGAAAGAGTACGAGCTGAGATGGGGAACATCTGGGCATGTGCCAGGAGGCCAGTTTGCTAGCTCCTGAGTTATATCATGTGTCTTATACTGAAATTCCTACTCCTCAGGGAGATGGTCTTGGCTTTTCTATTATGTTCTGCTGCCTGTGGAATTCAGCTCGGGTTGGAAAGAGCTACTACACACACATTTAATGTTAAAATTAAGTGAAAAAAGCAGTATGGCCTTGGAATGTTTAAATGTCAACTCTGAGACGCACAGCTCACTGCAGGAAAGGTCTGTGTGGATTAATGGCCATCCTGTGAGAGCTCCCTCCCTTCCCCCATATTTGAGGACACAGCCCCTATGGCAGAAGTAGGGTGAGAGGATCTATTTCCTTTTATAGACTCACCACTTTTGGTGAAGGCTCAAGACACAGGGTATGAGGTCTTCACAGGAGAACCCAGTGAGGTCCCACAGCCGAGTGGTCCAAGGCTGTGCTGGGGAGAAAAAAAGAAAAGCAGGAATGGTGGGCCCATTATGACACCAACTCATGCCTATAGCCTGGAGCTCAGGGTTGCAAAGACCCCCACACGCAAAGCATGCCTGCTCACTGTCATTAGTGAGGAAAATAGTACTTAAGCCAGGACCATCCCTGATCTCACCCCAGAGAATGGTTTTTAGTCCATTGTGGTGTTTCCTTCTCTAGGAGAGGTGGGCCTGCTTCTTTTCTCCCCCTCCCCACTTATATCTGAGCATCGTCTCCTGACTCCAGGAATTGCCCAGGCCCTTGGCTCAGCCTGTGCTGAGCAGCTGGCCTAGAAAGGCAGGCTCCTTACTCTGCCCGTGGGTCAGCCTTGCCAGCAGCAGGGCAGCTGCAGCCAGGTGGGCTGGGGAGTAGGCAGCCAGGCTGGTGTGCAACAGAGAGAGCTCGCAGAGGAAGCTGCACAGGTGCTGGGTTCTTGGTGCCACAGGGATCAGAGTCAGCAGGACGTCCTTGTAATCAACCACAGTGGGGACCTAGACAAAACCGGGAGGTGGATGTGGGGTCTCAGCACACAGAGAGCTCATCCACCCACTCAACAGAGCACAGGGTCTGGCATGACTGATGTTCAGGCTGGATGCCAGGGCACTCGGTGAGAAGATGCCCTCTGGGTCCAGAGGGACTTTTAGAGAAGGAAAGCTCAACACTGTGAGGCTGCCCTTAGATCCTGCCACCCCCTCATGTGACCTCCACTTTTACAAGGAATAAACAAAAGGCCACTTACTCGAATCTTGCCTTCCAGGGCAGAAATGATCTCTCCCATCATCCTCACCAGGTCTTCATACTTGTACGTGTTGTCTGTGAGCCACACAGCTTCCCGGATTGTCAAGATCTCTTTGCTGATGAACCTGGAGTATAGAGAAGAGGTCTGAGAGTTGAGCCCAATTTCTCAGTAGGGCAATCACTTTATGCTTCAATGACAGAGGGTCGGGGGGATGTCAAAGAGTGAACCTGGATGTCTGTGGCTGCAGAAGGGAACTGAAAAGGTCACATAACCCTGTCATAAGGGCTGAAAAGGAGGAGAGATTAATGACATGGACCAGTAGGAATGACTGGACTGCCTGGCACAAAAATGTTTCTGCAAAAGGCACCCATGAATGATGTGACTGGTCAGTCCTCAGAGAGTGAGGGAGGGGGGATTTGCCCTGCTTTGTGCCAGATTCTACAGTGAGTATAAATGACTTAAGTCCAGGAGGCAGTGAGCCAGCAGAACTGAGCTGGAGGTGGTCTAAATGTTTGTACACAGCAGTCTGGCCACTGGAATTTTGATTGTCCCTTAGGCAGGTGGTCACCACGTTCTCTACTCTCCACCAGAGCCAACTACCAGTGAATAAGCTGGTCCAGTAACCTGTTAAGGGTGCCTCCCCTTTCCCCTTGTAAGGACAGACCAGGGCTAAGCCTGTGACCATTCTGTCCTAAGGACTCTGCAGCTCCCACGTTTGCTGTTGGCTTGGCTAAAAGAAAGAGGAGGCATGGGGACCACAGGTACTAAAAAGATGAGAGGCAGGTGGGGACGATGAGCGCCCCATAGCTTGCTGGGAGCCATGGCAAATGCTGCCTTGAGAATATAAGTCAGGGTATCTCAACCTCTAAAAATTTTTAAAGCAATTATCAGCTTACTGCTAGTCAGTTTGTGGCCCAGTAACTTGGTCCCCAATGGCAAGAACATAATTATGCCACCTAGATCCAGGAGACAGGGACCCTGTCTGGTCAGCCCTCTCTGGTGAGGACACCTGAAATAGTGAAGGGCCCAGACAGTGTGTGGTAGTCTGCCTGCTGGCACTGAGTCGTGCTCCCTCCACCCGTGGTCATAATCCCCTGCTTCCATGACTCTCTGAAGAGATCATGCTTTCTAGGTCCAAGTGGCCGTGTGACTGAGCTTGCTGTGAAGGTACACATGGTGACCTTAGGGGTCATGGGGGTGGTGGTGGCAGATAATAAGACAGAAGTGGGTCTCCTCCGTGACCTCATGAAACAGAAAATCCATCCCAATGACATGATGAGCCTAGACCCTTGACTTCTGGGTTACTGTGCAAAATAAGTCAATCCCTGTTGTTTACAACACTGCACACAATACGCCTGTTCCTCATTCCCCCAAGCCTTGCAGACAAGGCCAGCTGGTCTGGAAAGCACTGCCCAAAGGAAATGGCAGACTGTTGGATTTAGGAAAACTGGAAAATGCAAAATGTATGGAAGGCATTGTCATTCATATTTCCACTAAAGGCAAAATTGGACAGACTGGTATTTGTTAAAGGATGGCAGATTTCAGTAAATATAAGATGGTACAGCTTGAAAAGTCAGAGCTGCCAGGGGTTCAGGCTGCCGTGTGAGGAGGATGTGCTGTCTGTGTGGTTGGAGTGGGGCCTGTAGGGAGCCACATGGGGGATGTGAGACTGACTAGGTCTCTGATGACACATACTTAAGAAATACATTCTTGCAAACCTCACTGCCAACAAGCAGTCTTTCTGTGATCTTGGCTGGAGGACAATGACCTACCCTCTTTGCTGAGTCACCCTCAGGGGCCAGGGCAAGAAGGGGTCTGGTCTGAGCCTGCCCAGGCAAGGCCACACTCTGGGTCCTGAGACCATGTGCGGGGACAAGTGGCCACCCACGCACCAAGGATCAACACTCCCTAAAATTAAAACCCCCATCTAACAAGGTGGGACACTGAAGGTTTATCTCACTGAAAAGCCAGCCTATGAACTAGGGCAGAGCCAGTGTGTTATGCGCCAGCCTGTGGGCATGAGCACGGCCATGGGGATGCTTCTCACCGGGTGCAGATGACCATGCAGGCGATGCCCAGCAGCTGGAGCCTATACCGGGGAACCAGCCTCCTCCGTAGGTACCGGTCCACACACTCCACAGTCAGGTGAAGGCATAGGCTTGTGAAGTCCTTCATGGTGGCAACTTCTACAAGCCAGTCGATTAGAATGTACCTTTGGGAAGAACACCACCCCTGAACACTAGAGTGAGCATTCATGAGTGTCCCATCTCCCATTCCAGATGGCCTGTCTGTCCCAAGGGAGTGAATCGCTCATCTGCACCACTGGTTTACCCAGGCACCGTCCCAGGCTGAGATGCCATATTCAAGGGAGTAGGGGAGCCCCACATCTCCTGACTCTGTATCTGGGAGGCAGGTGAGCTCACATATCTGTGTCCCTGCCTCCCCCAGAGAGCACCTGCAAGCACTAGAAAGCCCTGGCACACATAGGTAAGGGGCAAAATAGGGGTGGGGATGGATCACAGGACCAGAGAAAAGACTCAAAGGTGTGAGAGCTTTGGCCTCTCTGTAGCTCACCTGTGGGGTCATTTAACAAACCTTTTGCACTGGGGCAAAGAGCCAAGAACACAAGGCCTGACATAGCCGACACACATGGGGTCCTTCCTCGAGAGGGCTAAAACCTGGGGCCAGGGGCACAGGCATTGCAAGGGAATGTACATGCAATGGCAAGGATACCACAGTGTGGTAAATCCCTTTCTAAATAAAGGAGAGGGGATGCAGAGAATAAAAGAGAGAAAAACTGTGACACTGCAGGCTTCTGCAGACAGGATAGGGGTGGGCTCCTAGTCAGCCCAGACAGAAGCATCTCTTGTATGTGGAGGGGAAGAGGGAAAGATGGGGTCAGAACAGTCGACTGAAAGGAGGAGGGAAGCAATGGAGGAGGAATGGGAGGAGGAAGACAAGCCTCCATTTTCTCCCAGAAGGAAACAGGGCATGAGTGTCAGGTGTTTGAAATTTAAACCAGCCACTATAGGAACCAAAGAGGAAGCTCTCCCATACAGACTTAATAACTAAATGATCTGACTTATAAAAACAGACCAACCAAATTATATACATTAAAATGGTTAAATCTGAAACTAATATAATGTTACATATCAATACTACCTCAGTAAAAAAAGAAAAAGTTGGTAGTTGCCAACTTTTTGGAAAATGAGAAGATGTTCAAGGGCTGAAGTGATATTAATATTTCAATAATATTATTTTAGTTCTTGAAAAGGAAAAAAAGTGAAGTCTGTTATACCCAAAGCCCCCCAAAATAGCATGTCCAAAAAAAGGGGGGGGCAGACTGAGAGAGGCACAAAATGTTATCAGCATATTTCTTTCAACAGAAAAACACCTGAGAAGAGTGCGGAGGGGGGCTGCCGCCACCACCGCAGGATTGAAAAGCTAACAGCTTTGTGACATTTAATGTGGGATCAAAGGACCCCACATTATACGTCCTGCACTGTGTGTGTGAGAGATCAAGCCTCTACAGGAAAAGCTAGATTCTTCAAAAAAATAAATGTTTACTGAACTTATTATGTGACGGGCATTGCAGCCAGAGCCTGCCTGGCCATTATAAATCCAAACGTATCTGAAATCTTGTGCACAAGCTTAATGATTCACATTTTCCATTTTACTAACATGTTCTGTGATTGAGTATACAAGTGTGTTATCTCTAAACCTTGGAGGAAAATGGACCTGCAGGAAGAAGTAGGTAGTGCTGGGGTTTCAGGCTGCTGGGCACACCGAAGCTGTCCCAGAGGGCATAGCTCCCTGGGTCAGGCTGGCTTGATGGCTGTGGAGTTCCACACACCAAGCTGATGCTTATTAATGATGGCTTGTAAAGGTGATTTTTTTGGCTTCAGAAAATGGGGGTGTGAAGCCCATCATTTTAGAAAGAGGTTTAAAATGGTTTAACTTGTTCCGAGGCTTAAAAAGGAAAGTAGGAGAGAGCAGGCACTTTACAAGGGATATTTTCTCTTCAAAGCCCTGGATAACTCCAGCAGGATTTAGAAAACACACCCACACAGAAATGGCGGGATCCTAGTGGCGTTGACAACACAGAGTGCTCTGTGGCACGTGGCTTAGGTGAAAAAGAAGTGAGAGTTCCCTTTACCCCAGAGACCAGTAGTCGCTCTGCCATCCAATGAGAAGCTCTGGCTTGAACCCCTCACCTCATTGTGTCGTTGAGTCCCTTCTGCACAGAAAAAACCTCCTGCTTATTAACAGCACGGGAGGCCTGAAACAGCTGGAGGACTATCTCATTGGATGCTTTTGCTTCTAGTCCAAGCTGGTTTCCATTGGCACAGGCTTTGGCTAAAGACAGCTGAGAAGGAAAGACATGCAGAATGAGCACAAAGCGGTGGCTTTTGAGGTTTTCCATTTCTGAATGTGAAGGTCTGTTCAGAGAGAAGACACATGTATACACATTTGCCCTCCTCATGCCTTCCAAACTTTCTAGATACACTCTGGCTAAGATTTTAATTATTCTTTTTGAAATAATACATTACATGGTCAAGAATTTAAAAAAGGATAAAAGGTATATGATGGAATGTCAGTCCCCTTCCTGGTACAGGTCCTCAGCCAGTAAGTCTTTTGGCAACTTTTAAAAAAATTAAGTTTGTTTCTGTTCAACTCCAATTGTGAGGTTGTGGTTTGCACATCCTGGTTACTTCATGGGACAACTCTCAATTGTGAAAGCTTGATGCTCCAGTGGGAAGCTGAGTAACAAAGTGACAAGGAGCAGGCTGGTGGCTCAGATGACCTGCTTTTAAAATTTGGGTCTGTTATGTGGCCACTGGCAAACTGGGAGACTCTTCTATGACTCAGTTTCCCTTTTCATGAAGTGGCATCCAGCACCTACTTTGGCAGACAGATGTGAGGATTGACTGAGCTTTGCACAGGATCCACCCAGCACCCACTAAGCTCTGAAGTGGTTACCACCAACCATTTCTATACATTTCCTTTCAGATTTTTCTCTGCATTTGTAACTGTGTATATGGATTTGTGATCATGGTATATATACATCTAATGTATTCTTTGCTCACCTAACAATGATATGGTTCCTTAGGAAATAAAATATCTATAAGCATGCATCTATATCTCTGCATCTGTTCTCCCTTTTCACCTATTTTTGATGTATTTTATTATTTCGGGGAACATCTTTGTGCAGCCTTTTCAGCCCCTGCACCTTTCTGCTCATGTGGCCAGTCCACAGGAATGGCTCTGCTGAGCATTTTGCTCCTTGTGCCCAAGTCTTTTCTACATGGTAGGCCCCAGTGTTTACACCCACTAATAGGAACACTATTTTATTACATTTTTTTGCCAGCAAAAACAGCTATTGTTTAAAAGTGTGCATTTCCTGAAGTTATTAGCTATCTAGCCAAAAACACATGAGAATATATACACATATGCATGCATATACATATTTGCTAATGTGATCTCATTGAAACACATGCCCTTCTGGCCAGCAGTGACTGGAATGCTGCTGCTGTGTTCTGGCTAGTGTGTTTATTTCCTCTTTTGAAATAGAGGAAATTCATATTGATGAGTTTGAGCTTTAACTAGAACCACATTGTTGATTGTCACATGTCTTGTAAATATGCTGACTGCCTTTTTGGATATAAACATGACAGTGTTTTGTGACATGTCTACTGTTTTGTGATTTCTTTCCTAGCTTTTGAGGATAGATGATGCTCAATCAACCAAGTGGATGACCTGCTCACCAGGCCTGCTCAGCAGGTCATCCCCTTGATTGGTTGAGCTTCTACCTGCTTGGCTTTGTCTTGAAACAACAACTTTACAGTTCCAAGGAGAGTACTTAAGGAACACCTACAAGGCCCTGAGGTTTTGGTTCTCACACTGGATGACCTGGTGAGCAGGTCAAATAGTAAGAATAGGACAGCATTCCACATGCCCACCTGCTCTAAGGAGTCTTGGGTTCTGTTGCTGAGGTAGGCTTTACCTGGCAAGACAACTTTAGGGGCCAGTATGAATTTTGATAGCAGCTGCAGTCCTCAAGCACTTAGACAATAAGAGGCTGGCTTAAGGGCAATGGGCTTTGAAATGGTAGGGTGGCAATGGCCAGAGATGAAGGAAGCACTGCCAGGGGCTCCTCCTGCACACCCTGGAACTAAATTCCTGTAAGAGCCAGCTCAGTCCTAGGCCAACCTTACTGCTTCCTGAGTGAGAGCCTGGGAAGTGTAACGCCAGCTCCCACCTTACCTGGGCTTCCCAGCAGCCTTTGGCAGCATAGTCCCTGAGTTTCCGGAAGTTGTGGAGGCATCGCCCGGGATCAGACATCTGTCAATGGGAGAAAGTCACCATGATTTTATATGGTTGTGTCTCTGGAAAAACAGAGAACTTATAGGGTCCATAAATGTTCCTCCAACACCCCCAAAGGGTTCCCAGCTGTACTTTCTTCTCAGTCCTTTATCCTCCAAATGATGGTAGTAGTTTTGGGGCAGTGCTGAGAATGGCCTGCTGTGCAGCAGTTCCCAGGGGCCTAGGAGCTGTATGAGGATCCTTCCTGTTTGACTACCTCATCCAAGGGCCAATCTGGAGACTATGCCTTTGGCCAACATAACTCCGCCTCTCCCCAGACCCTGGCCCACTCACGTCTATCAGTCTGTCACTTTCCCAGAGGAGGTATGAGCTGGTCAAACATCCCTGATTAGCAGACTCTTCAAAGAGGTCACGGGCCTGCTTCTTTTTCTCTTCATCCTGGAATGAGTCCAAACAGTTCATTCTTTTCTTATTCTCTTTCTGCTAAACGATTCTACTAACCATCTTTATTTCTCTCCACACCCCTAAGTGACTGCATGCATTGCTCTTTAATAAAAATGAGTTAACTAAATCAGAATAGAAATGACTTCTTTAAAGAGACGCAATTTGACAAGCAACATGGAAAGTGAATTCATTCACAAGTTCTGCCCTCATAGATTCTGCTTTCTCCTTGACCAAGTTGGTATTTGGCTTGGCCTTAGGCCACCCAGAGGGCCAGCCATCCACACTGAACTGCCCAGATGGTGATTTCGGGGATCCCTCACCTCCCCACTAATACTCAGTATTCCTCCCTGGTACTGTCAACGCACACCTGTCACCAGAAGCCACCACCTTCCCTGAGTTTTCTGCAGAGGGGGTTCTTTAATCACAAAGCTCATTAGAGCTTTCTCAAGAGTACAGAGGTATGAATGACAAGTGGGAGAGAGTCACCAATAACCACGAAACAAGCCCCTGGTCCTATGTACACTTGGATGTTCTGCCTGGCTCCACATGGCCTCTCACAGGTGGGACTCGCTCTGGCTTTGAACCCCGGACACTCCTTTTTGTTGCTTTTCACTCCCTTTCTCATCCTTGGTGTTTATGGCTGCCAGAAAGGTGAGCAGCGTGGAAATGTGAAGCTGCTATAGTGGGATGGATAAAACTCACCTCAAAGAGACTTAGCACCTTCCCCAAGCAGTGCAGTATGGAGGCTCTGTGAGTCTAGGAAAAGGAGGAGAAAGAAGAGTGATCATCGGTGGTGAGAACATCCAGGGGCCACCCCTCCCATTTTGTGGGTCCCAGGGCCCCCGACCGTCCCTCTTTACAGAGGGTTGACTGTTTCACGGAGCCTCCATCTTGCCTTTCCAGCTGTCAGTGCGTCTGCAGTCCAGCCCTTCATCAGATTCCCCCGACCCCCAGCTTCGAGGCCTCCTGTCCTGCTGGGTCATTTCCAAACACTCCCATACCTATGCTCTTAGTTTTCTGCACCTCCACTTCCCTCAGGTCCCTGACTTTTTATGGTCCACAGTGTCTCTTCTCAAGGTTTTCTCACCTCTCAGGATCCTACGGGGCTTGAATTTCCAAGCCCAGCCTGCCCTACACGCGCCCCTTGCTAGCACTCACTCTTTGTAGCTGGCACTCCGCCTTGAGGCTCTCATGAACCACAGCCTTGCAGCAACTTCCAGACACTGACCACGGAGGGCGGATGAAGAGCCAGATGAAAGGTGTGGCACTGACATTTAGTCGCTCGGCGAGACTGAAGTAACGAGAGGCTTTCAGGCCGTTCACTTCTGCACGGGCCTCGTCAGACACAGACACTGTAGAGGCAGACAGAATGTAACTCAGGGATGTCTCAAGGACAAATGTGGAAAGTTCTCCCTGGTATTTTGTGCAAGTCTAAAACTTTAAGCCTGCTGTAGTGCAAAGCTGCTGGTATTTTAGGAGAAAAGAGCCTCCAGGACGAGGGGCTTCTCCCTTTTCTTTCCCTTTGTGAATCATGTGCCCCTGCCTGGGTCTTCCCAGCAGCCTGGATTCTGAAGGCTGGGAAGGTGTTCCCTGTGGAGATGTCATATGCCCACCCTCCCTCCTGCTGAGAACTGCTGGCAACACCCCTCACCCCTCCCCATTGACAAGTTTCTTTTGGGGGTAATGAGAATTTCCAAAATTAGACAGTGGTGATGGCTACACAACTCTTGTGACTATACTAAAAACCCACTAGGTCATATACATTAGATGGGTGAGGGTATGTGAATTACGTCTGGGAATTGCTATCTGACAAGACAGCTGGGGCAGGACTGCCATTCTTCTGAGCCTGGGGGAAGAATGCTCATTGTCTCTATTAGTCACAACAGTCTTGTCAACCAACCCTGTGAGGGACTATCTTTCAACAAGATGCCAGAAGCAGAAGAAGCATTTTTCTTCTTCTTTTAGAAGCAGAAAAATGGCTGCTATACCCAAGTCCTGTGTGTTTTGGGAACCAGGACAGGAGGGACCCCCGGCTAGTTCCTTGATGTGCAAACAGGCAGGAAGTGGGAGAAGGCCACACAAGATTCTTTCAAGGAGCACCTGACCTTGGAGTTGAAGAAATTCAGGCACCATGCTGCCTTTGGCCTGCTTGTACCTGCCTCCTGCTTGGAACCTTGGCTACCTGCCATTGTTGACAGCCTATGGAATTAGGCACGCTTTGACTGCTGCGCCAGCTCCACAGAGGAACTGCGGCTGAGGAGCCAGAGTCTGTCTACACACAGATTGTGGTGTTAACCTGACAGAGGGTGGGCAGCCTCAGGGAAGCTGGCTATAGCCCCGATTCTGAGTCTCTGCTCAGTCATTCTTTGCTGACTGAAATTAAAGGATTTATTAAAATAAGAGGCTACTCTCCCAACCTACAAAATCAAAGTTCCTCAATGGGTCCCTTCAGCAGGGCACTTCTTGGCACCAGCTTCCTAGAGGAGACAGTAAGGCAGACCACCAGACACAGCAAGAAAAGCAACTAAATTACACACACTGAGAAGGGCTCATTGTTGTTCTAAAACGTCAGCACTAAGTGGGGTGACGCCAGCCCCAGCCCTGTAAGGACTCACAGCCTTCATTGTAGAGGTAGGCGATGCCCAGCTTCACAGCAGCTTCAAAATTTCCCTTTTCAGCAGCCCTAGAACATTAGGAACATAAAATACCACAATTTTATTCCATAAAGGTTATGTTCCATCACAGCAATTGAAGCTACAATACTTATTTTCTGAATAGAACATTTTTCAGGTAATGCAGTAATATATCATTTATCCATGACATGTTACAACATGGATGAACCTTAAAAACAGGCTAAGTGAAAGAAGTCAGTCACAAAAAGGCCACATGTTGTATGAGTCCTTATATAAGATGTTCATAATCAGCATACCCAGAGACAGGAAGTGGATTAGTGGATGCCTAGGATTTGCGGGAATGCAGGTAAAATGGGGAGTGACTGCTAATTGGTACGGGGTTTCATTTTGGAGTAATGAGAATGTTCTAGATAGTATTGATGATTGCATAACTCTGTGAATATATTAAAAAATATGAAGCGGTACATTTTAAAAGGGTAAATTGTATAGTTTGTGGATTACGTCTCAGGTGGCCTGCCCGAAACCACTGGCACACTTGGACAGTGGGTACAGTCGTCGGCACACTCGGGTCCACTGGCCGCAGGGTTCACATGGACTTTGGCCCTCCCTCTGGGTCTCAACTCTGGCAGGGGGTGGGATCAGCCAGTGAATAAATTGCAATAGGATTTAAATCACATTTTTTAAAAAGATTGAATTTATTTTTAGAAAGAGGGGAAATGAGGGAGAAAAAGAGGGAGAGAAACATCGATTTGTAAGAGAAACATCAGTTGGTTGCCTCTCCCATGCCCCTAATCACAGACCTGGTCTGCAACCTAGGCATGTGCCCTGGTGGAGAATGGAACTGGGACCGTTTGGTTTGCAGGACAATGCCCAACCCACTGAGCCCTACCAATCAGGGCTATATAACACAGTTCTGAACCAAAGAAAAGAGGGCGAGGGCTGAATAAAGATTCTACACAGGTGACCTGGGTTTGAGTCACAAGGGATAGGTCACAGCCCAAGGACTATTCAGAAGCACCACTGTGAGTAATGAGAACCAGGCCTGTGCTGGTGGTGTGGATGACTGAGGACTGTGCTGGAAGTCATATGACTCATAGGGGAGGCTGACAGCCTTCAGTTGCTTCCTTGGGGGAGATAAGGCATTAGCATGGGCTACAGCAAGAGCAAAACCATTCCCAGGTCAGGCCCTGGGACATAGGCTGGAATATCAGGATTGCCTCCAAATGGGAGGAAACCAAGCTGTTCTCAGGGTAAAGGGATACCTTTCAAAGAGCTTCAGGTTCTTTGGAGAAGGCCACAGCTCTTGAAAGCTAGCACATGCCCATACACTGGCGTGGTTGTCCACCAGGTACTTCAGGTGGGAGTGTACCTGCAGAACAATGGAAATGGGGTGAGTGGGGGGGACTATTAAGGGACCTACCAGAACCCATGCCTCTGAAGCTCTTAAAGACAAAATGTATACAGATATAGAGTCTCCTCTCCCCTTACCCACCCCAGTGGCAAAGGCCCCAAGTCTCTATGTCTCAAAACAGTTGCTTTGAATAGAAAAGAGAGCCCAGAAACAAGATTCTCTGTGGCTATAACTGTGGAGACAGTGGTCCTGGAAGGGGGAATAAAGCACCTAGACTGATAAAGGGGATGATACCTCTGTAAGAGTATATACCTGCAAGGATCAGGGAAACCAAGTCTAACTGGAGCAGCTAGGACAGAAATCTGTTTTGTGCTGCTCTGCCTGGAGTCTTGCTAGTGGGAGCACAGCTGGAGCCTGGAGGTAGACAGGGGCTTTTGGAAAAGACTGACACATGTGACAGTAGCCTCAGGTAGGACCTGGAGCCTCTGCCCTGGGCAGGAGCCCTGACCATAGGACAGCAATTTAAACACTACTGTTACCACTGCCATCGGAAACTCAGCACCCACGGATATTATAACCCAATGGAGGGGGATTTTGGGAGCTGGAGAAGTAGGTTCTTGTCTTCCCACTAATTTACTATATATGCCCTGGGTTAAGTTACCCAAAATGAGGCTGCAGTTCCGATATATGTAAAATAACTCCCAGAGTCCCTTTTAGTACTGAACGTTACATGGGATTTGTCCTCAAGAATATGCTTTTATTCTTTTTAATATTATCTTATTTCTTCCATCTGAATACTAACCAGGACTGACCCTGCTTAGCTTCTGAGATCAGACAAGATCAGGTGTGTTCAGGGTAGTATGGCTGTACACATATTATCTTATTTCTTTTAAATTTTTTTAAAAATTATTTTTAAATTACAGTATTATATTAATTTCAGGCATAATATCTTGTTTCTTAAGAGATGCAAATTTTACTGCCATAAGAGTGTTTTCTCCGTTAAACATTACAATGAGTGTGCTATGGTTCAGCTTTCCTACAACCAGAACAACCTCAAGCATCTATTAACAATATCATCCTTGCTTCTCTGCCCTCTTTTATAGCCAAAGTTCTGACATTTAGAAACATGGAGCCTTGATGGTATGACCAATGACTCTAGGGCTGATACTATTTTCATCTCACAACTTACAGATCGAACTGCTAGGATGTCCCCAACAGAAAGCCATTTCAGGATATGAAAGAGCACATCTTCTGGGAGATTCAAGATGGTTAGGTTTCGGGGTCTCCTTCTTATTCTTCGCTTTGTAGGATAACAGAAACACTTGGCACACCTACAGTGGATCACTGAAGAAAAAGAATCGGAATAATCTAAGGGATGTATTGGAAAGGAGTTGTACTGATACGTACAGTTATATCTGAAGATGATTTAAAAGTTACTGTCCCCCACCCCACAAAAGGAACCAACTGGTCACATTCCTAGTCCCAAACAAAGAATAAAGGAGTGTATTATAACAGAAAACATCATCATTCATTCAAATATTCAGTAAGTATTTATGGTGAACAGCAGATAATCATTTAACTTGGCCATTGGGAAACTTCCTGTGGGAAACTTCATGATTCAGAGCCCAGATGACAACCAGGAAGGGAAAAAAGCAGCCAACGATGATGAGGTCTCTCAATGAAGCCCCCAGGACGCTTGCTGATTGATCCCTTTGCTTCTACTTGCATACATAACTAAAATGCATAATGTTCAGTAAGGATCTGTAGACGTGAACAATCTGGTGTTCAAGTCCAAACTAGGAGGGTCAAGTCCAAACTTTCCTTCGGAGGGAAGCAAAGGCTGAACTTGGAGGCCAAGCCAGTCCCCGCTCTGCCCAGTATCCTCTCTCCCCACAGAGGGTCATTCCAACTCCAGCAGCTCCTTCCTCATTCTAAGCAGAAGACTTAGAAACTCCCCGCAGGAGCCTCTCACCTACACTTTACCTGGCTTTCCATCCGATCCTCCCTTTCGTCCCGATAGGAGGGGGCTGCTCTCCTTGCAGTACCCCGCCCCTCGCCTAGCTCTTCACCTGGGTCTTCCCATCAGCAGTTAACGCGAGGCGAAAGCCAAATCTACACTCACGGCCAGTTCCCACAGATTACATGGATTTTACCACACTGTCCTCACTCCCTTGATGTAGGACAGACTCGGAAACGCTTAACCGCCACGGCGATTACCACCGAAACCACAGCTGCGCTCACAGCCCCCAACAGGTGTGCGGACCCGCGCCGGGCTTTCACGCGGACCTAGGCACCGCCTGGTATTTAAACCGCGCGCCGTGCAGGTGCCTCCGGAATCCCAGGCCGAAAGGCTCGAGTCAGCCTGCGCAGGCTCTGGCTGGCCGCCCGCCCGCCCGCCGTCGCCACCCGCACCCGGTGACCGGTGCTCACCACCGCCGCTCCCCATCTCCACCTGGACCGCCACCTCAGCCGTCGCCGCCTCAACCTAAGATGCTCCGGTCGCCCGCCAGCCCTGCGCGCACCGCCCCACGCACGCGCAGACCCGCCCCGCCGCCCGCCCTAGTTTTCAAACGCGCCCAGCACTCCCATTGGCCCGCCCCGGGGGGCGCGCGCTGTGGGTCAACAGGACTCCGTTCCCGCCCCCACTCCACTCGCCGGCTTCCAACGCCTCGGATTGGCCGCCCCAGGACGCGAATTCGAACGCGGGCGGTTAATTGGTGGAGCCCGGGAAGCGGCCCCGGGCTGGGATCCGGGCGGGGATACTAGTGGAGCGCGGTCAGGCTCCGTAGGTAGGGGTTTCTTTACTCCGAAATGGCCCGCGTTGTCCTCGGCTGTTTGGTGTTTGGGCCTCTCTGCTGACTTCAGCGTATGAGGTCCTGGCCACCGGAATCCACTGCGCGCAGTGGGTTGTCAGTGAAGGTCTGTGCGGACCGGCTGCACCTCTGGGCGCTGGGTCTTGCCCAGGGTGCTGTGCAGCTGGGGCCCCGACGGGTCAAAGCCTGTGTGGACGCAGACTAGCAGGCACCCGCGCGCGCGGCGCCCAGGCGGCCCCTGATCTCCTACCCTCCGAGGCCGCGCACCCTGCTTGTAATTCGTGCTTCTGGCGAGGAGACCCCTGGTTCGGGACCCAGCCAGACTGCATAAATTGTAATGTAGAAAGTGGAGTTGGAGATCTCGGCTTGAAAACAGCCAGCACGTTTGACCCTTTCTCTCCCAGGAACGAGGCTCATCCTGGACCCTTACTCCATACTTGCCTCAGGACAGCCTTAACCCTCTCACTCTCCCCAAGTCTGTCACTGCCATCTGGGAGACTTTTTAAGGAAAATGGCCCTGGCTGGTGTGGCTCAGTGGATTCTTATACATCACATCAATGTTTCTCTCCCTCTCTCCTTCCCTTTCCCTCTCTCTAAAAATGAATAAATAAAAATTTAAAAAGGGAAGTGCACACCTGTTTGCTTTACTGGTTACTGCCAGCCACAGCTGAACATTCTGTTCATTCTGAAGTATCAGGCACTGTCTGTCCATTTGGCTTGTCTTTCAGGAACCAACTCACATCTCACTTCTTTCCTGAGACATTCTAACAAGGAAAGAAATGCAATCTTCTGGGCCATTTGATGGAGGACAGAGTGGTTTTGCCTAGAGAAGCTAGGGAATCTGGGTCGGGTCATGACTCAGACTTCCCACAGCCTCAATCAGCTGTGATGTCCCCTTTGTCTCCCTGTCCCTCATGCTCACTGAATCTCATGGTGCCCAGGTTCTCATATCAAGGGATATGAGAATTTCAGTGGTCCCCAAAATGACAAGGGACCGAGCCCTGGAAGTTGAGGGTGGTGGAGGAGGTGAGGGTGATATGCATAGGAAGTCCAGTGGATAGAGCTGAACATGCTTGGGGCCTGCTGCCCAGATGACCCACATTGGAATTTGGGAGGAATCAGTGGAGGACCCCTCATATTTCTCATCCTTCCTCCCACCTTTGTTTCCATTGGTTACTGTTTCTCAATTTGTTACTTTGTTTTCCTCCTTCCCTGCATTGTTACTTTGTTATCGGTTTCCTCCAGGCAGAGGTGCATTCTTTCAGTGTTAGATTTTGGGAGCACCTTGAAGGCACTAATAAACTGGATCTACCAATGAGCAACTCAGTCATTCACCACTCTAACTCCCCTGTGATACTATGTCACTGAGTCCAAAACAGCATCCCTGTCCACTCAAAGTTCCTCAGCTGTACTTTGTCCTTTTTTTAATCTCCACCTGAGGATATGTTTATTGATTTTTTTTAAAAGAGAGGAAGTGGAGAGAGAAAGAGAGAGAGAGAGAGAGAGAAACATCTGTCTGTTGCCTCCTGAAGCCCCAACTGGGGATCAAACACGCAACCTAGGAATATGACCTGACAAGGGATTGAGCCTTTTTGTGTACGGAACGACGCTCCAACAAACTGAGCCACTAGGCCAAGGCTCCTCAGTCTTGTCCTTATCACTCTCATTCATTCAGCAGTAGAGTTTTCTTAATTTTCAGGAAACAAGTGTTCTCTTCTTGGTTACGCTGCAGCCACACCTTCCCCAGCCTCCACCCACTGCTCTAGCGGTAACAGCCCCTAGGGCTCAGTGTGGTGAGAAACAGAAGGTATGTGAAGAGTCCATTTTTTCCTTGGGCTTCAGGAGAGTCAGAGAATGCATTGGAAAAGTCTAGACTGTGGGGAGCTCAGGGAAGTTCCCAGTTGGAATAAGATGGCAACTGAAAGCCTGGGGTGTGGATGAGAAAGGAATTCAAGAGTAGCAGAGTGCAGAGGGGAGAGTAAGGAAACATGAAGTAGGCTGGGGACCCAAATGATCCCACTGTTCAGAGAATGGAAGAGGAACTTACAGAGGAAGCAGAGAAGGGGCCCTGTAGGAACATGAAATGGGGAGAGGTCACAAGAGGGGCTTTCATCAGAAGGCTGCAGGGGACATTGTGAAATGCCACAAGAAGTTACATAGAAAATTCAGGGAGAAACCAGTGGGTGTGGTAGCAAGAGATGTGATAGTGCTGTAGTTTGGGGTGAGTGGTAATGGGAGGTAGGAAGTGTGGGCAGAGACAGTAGATACGACTTTCCTGGAGCTTGGCTGAGAAAGGAGGGAGAGAACGACCTGCAAAGGAAGAGCTGAGGGGGCTTTTTAGAGGGGTCCAAAGTGGAGAGAGAGAAGCTACGTGATGGGGCCTGACTCAGAGGAGATCCTCGTGACAGAGGTGCACAGCCACACTCATCCACCTTCACAGGCCAGACAAGGCAATGGTCCGGAGCACACAGGGCTGGGTTCAGTGGTTCTTACACCTGAGCTGCATCAGAAGCATCTGTTAACATGGAGCTCATTTCAATGAAAATTTCTGAGCCTCATCCCAAAATTTCTGACTCAACAGGTTTGGGGTGGGGCCCATGAATCTTCATTTCTAACAAGTTCTAGATGCTGCTAATGTTGTGGTCAGCAATGTCACTTTCAGAACCTCTCTGCCTGAGTCAAATGTTGGCTCTATACCTGCTGGCCGTGGGAAGTTGCTGAAGTCTGAGTCTCAGCTCACTCTTCTGGGCCATGGCATAATGATCACACCCACCTCAAGGGTTAGAGCAGGGTCACATGCAGGTTTACCCTAACATTTTCAGGAGCTGGGACAGAGGGCAAATCCAAATATGTACCTGCTGAAAAATTGTGACTCAGGCTGCAAACTCATCAATCTGTCTCTTCTTCTGTCTTCAGAAGTATGACATCACTACAACCATGGTCACCCTCAGGCCACTGCTTCTTGAGAGGATGCAGCAAGTGTTTCTCTGAGGCTGACTCCACAGACAGGTCTCAGTGAGGCCACAGGCCACCAGGTGGGACTCGAGGAAATGATTTTCCACTGAAATGCACCTGGGTTCTCCACCATTAAGACAAGTGGCCTCAATCTGGCAGATAGCCACCTCAACCCTCTGCCCCTGCTCACTGGGACCACCAGCTGCCTCGGTAACCCTTGTAGCTGATGGCAGGCTCTGCACCCTTGGGCTAAACTGGCACTGAGAACTTCTTGTTATAGCAAGAGAGACTTTGAGGGAAGTGGTGAGGGAGGTTGGGAGGGAGGTGGGGGTGATGAGGGACGTGTTGGCTCTGCTTGCCCTTGTTTGAGGGATCCCGGGCAGCTGAAGCTCAGGGAGATGTCCTCCAGGGAGACCTGGCTGACTGAGCAGTCATCCAGCACGTACTGCCTCTTGGCCTGCTCCAGAGTGTCAAATACCTATGGAGAGGGAGGAGGCCACTGTGGGCAGTGGGCACAAGGGAGGGGAGAGGAGACAGCAGAGGGTGGAAAAAGGGAAGGCCTCTGGGGTTGTGACAAGGCCCCCAAAAGGCCCATGCCTCTTTCAGCTGCCCCCAGAGCACTCCCAACAAGTCAGCCCCATGGAATTCAGCTGTCTGCAGTCTCAAGGAAGAGGACCCTGTTCTGGAACAGTGCCAGATAGCAGAGGTCCTGGCTGGGTTCCTGGCTTGCTGTGTGATGCTGGGCATGTGGTGTTCCCTGTCTGGGCCTGCTGCCCTCTCTGTGAAATGAGGACAAGCTGATCTCCAGAGTCTCTTCCAGCTCAAACATCTTATATTCTATGAAATCCGTGTGAACGTTGCCAGGGAGACATCAGAGAAGAACTGCTGCAGCACTGGTCGTAACTTCTACCCCAAAGAGAAAACACTAGAAAGCAGGTGACATCAGAGCTGTGCTCCCTCCCATGCCCAGGGATGTGCTCACCTTTGCCCAGCTGAGGTCATCACCAGGCAGGTGGTAATGGGCCATCCCTTGGTGTTCATCTTCCAGGATGCTGCCTGAACAAGGGAGAAAATATGTGCCCATTAGGTCCCAGCTGGAGGGCCAAGAGAGGGTGGCCTGGGCCCACAGAACTGCAGCCCTCTTCATAGGGGTCAGGAACGTGGGACTGGGTAGGGGCAAGGCTCAGATGCCCTCTGTGCAGTGTCACACACCTGGGAAGGTCAGGTCCACAAATGCCTTGAATTCCTGCAGTGCCTCCTGCTGCCTGTCACTTCTGACCTTGGCCCGCAGGGAGTAGCTGCTGCCAAACTTGCTCTTGAGGTGCTGTGGGCTGCCCAGGCACTTGAACTGACCCTGCACCATGATGGCCAGCCGGGTGCACAAGGCCTCGCATTCCTCCATGCTGAGGAGAGAGGGTGCAGGCCTGACACGGGGCTGGGGTATGCTGTCACCCACCCTCTGTGTCAAAGGCTGGGTGTCAACACCCAGATCAGGTGGCCCATGCGTACTACAGCTTGAGGATTCTATATCAACTGATGTCAGGTCTGTTTCCACCCAGCCCCTCCCACAGCCCCTGTCCTGGCTCATCCACTGACCCACAAAGCCCCCAGCTCCGCCTATGGGAGGTGATGATGATGCCCTTGCTGGGCTTATAGACTCTCGCCACAGCACCCCAGAGAAGGCGCCAAGCTACGGGGTCCATGCCAGTGGATGGCTCATCCAGGAAGATGACCGTAGGCGCTCCAAGCAGGGTATGCAAGTGCTTAGCTTCTGCTTGT